ATATATATATATATATATATATATAAACAGAGAGAAAGGGAGATTAGTGTGTGGGTAGCTGTTCGATTGATGCTATTTGTAACAGCCAATGCTCTCACTATCGATCAAATCGGTGTCGGAAACTGGAACACAAAAGCCGATGCGATACTTCTCACCGGTCACAATTTTTTGATCCGCATGCCAAATTATAATCTGGCAACTGTTTTCCCTCTGGGTTCTTGGTTGGTTCAGGTTGCTGTGAAAAAGGTTCTATACTCCATTCATGCTACCGCCACTGATCTATATTGTTAAGCAACGTCACCTTGTAGATACGATGCCCATCACACTGAGATTTGATGCTGTTCGCTCGTTCAGATCCCAGTGTTTAATTTTCGGTTTCCTGTTTCAACTTCGCCAATGATAAAAATTGCGTCTCGTACTCCACTGTTTTCACATCGTTTTTACCTTTTTGGTTAAGAAAGACTCTACCTTGGTAATATCTGAGCATTACAGGTTATCAGGTGCATCTTCGATTTCCTTTGAGAATGTAGTGGCCAAATTTGGTGAGTTACACACGAATGCATGTGTACACAAAATCCTTTCAGATCGCAACCATCCCTAAAGATTTGAATTCACTTCCTGTCGCTCCCATCCTTGCTGAAGATCACAAATTTCTCATAGCCCTGCGCCCATAAATGCGTAGAAACTCTCGGCAGATTACTAAAAGTTATTTGAAGTTTTCACCGTAAAGGGTTTTTAGTGAATTAGTCATCAATCTATCAGATAAGCCCTGTACAGTACTGGTTGAAAAATGGGCATTTGTTCCCAGCAGTCACAACGGTGTACATTACACATTTAGTACTCGCGTCTAAAANGTCTAAAATAGGTCGTATCAATAATCATTCATAATTGAGTTCCAATCCCAATGAGGTTGATTTCATTTTTTTCGCTTTCATTTGATGGGATTGATAGTTGTGTAAACAACTTTTAAGAGCTGCTGAACTGGCCAATCAAAGCTGCTATTTAATACCAAATTTAGGAGGAAATTTGGCGGCGGTATCAGTTATTACATTGAGAGTGTCACCTCGATTGGTGATGAAATCTGATTTGCAAACTCGGCAAACAAATGAATAATAATATATATAAATTTATACAATCGCCTCAGCTACGTCTTCAGGTGTAACGTTTTCCTGACTTGATTGGAAGGTGATATGCTGCCTTCTTCATTTTTGGCTTATTCCTCCTGTCGATATTCACTACACATTATTATTTTTAATGTTTCTGGTTTGATCAATCTCTCCACCTTATATTTGCAGCAATTTAGTTTCAATCGGTGATCTGGACGGTCGCGTTCGTCTTTTGTACAGTACTGGAGGCTCTCTATGCCCTCCCATCATGTTAGATTCTCCAATTCATTTACTCACACTTACCTCATTGAATGTGGCCGACGAACAGCACTCGGAAATGGGGTCGCAAAAGACGTTGAACAATTCGTCGTCCAGTCTAAGTCGCCTGCACACGGTGGTGAGCGGTGGAAAATCGGTCCCCAACGGTTTCTGTTCCCAACCAACCGGAAGAAATAATCAGTATCGTCTGGTGGCCCTTTGTCAGTCCGGTCGTCTCATAATTTGGCATCTGAATATTCCTGCCACCGGATGTTCATCAAACTCTATCTTATATTCGCCCTCCGTTTTTCCACAGTTCGTCGTAGAGTCCTCACTACACGATCTTTTTACAAGTACGTATTCGATCAGTCTATTCAAAATTGAGTGATTTCACCCAGGTCACTATGCTTTCCTGTCTGATTGATATGTTTCATTCGCTTTCGCTCCCCTTCTAGCATCCCAATCTACTTACGCCTCTATGACGTTCGGACCCAACGGACAACCTGTGGTTCACAAACGTGACGGATCGTCTTACATGTTCCACGTAGAAGGCCGTTTGTGGTAAGCCGGACGAATTTGGGTTGGGAATCGAAAACGGCTGAATTTTTTATCATTTGTGCAAACAAGAAATCGAAGTTCACCACGTGTTCTATGGACATGGATGTTATGTGTATAATGTTTGTATCGTGTCCACTCACCTTTTGAATCAAAAAGCAGAAAACTGTTTACTGCTTGGCAAATGGAGTCTATATTTTTGTGAATACTGATTGTCATCTGGAGTGCGCTTACCAATTTGTGTCTGCGTACATTGCCATTTACTTATTCAATGAAAATATGCTCGGCTCTCCGGGCTCTTACCTTCATTTTAGGATATATATATATATATATATATGGGGTCTGCGCACAAATTGTGTAATAAAAATTTCAATTTGTGCAGGAACCGTATTTGTTACAATAAATTCTTTTACTAAAATATGGTTGAATTCTTTTTCTTTTAAAGGTTGGAACTATTCGACGGTTCTAATCCCACTCGTTGTTCGGCCGCACTGTCAACCGCACGCGCTTGTCCTTCCGGGCNNNNGATGTTGACTAAAACCGTCAGTGCCGGATCCGATTATGCAAAGTACGCACGTGACCGATATTTCCTCATATTTATTTACCTATATGCAGGCTATTGACCAATAAAAAACTGTTCTCATTATATTATTTATATATATACATATCATATTATATTATATTATAATTATTATAAATATTATATTTATAATATATTTTTACCTCCTTGTTCATCAATAAAGATTGTTTAGGAGTCATTTAAGGCCGTGAGAGACTCTAGGTAGCCGTTTCAGGATCTGTTAACAATTTGGTGTTCACTCACTCAGGAGATCGTTCTTAAGAGCCACACGCTTTGAAGGGGTACACTATGGAATGATTGTTTCTTTTTGATGCAATTAAAATTTGCCTGTACTCAAACATTCCAACCAACCGTGATTGCATCTTCATCCCCCTGAGGATTTACCTCTATTTTGTGCTTTTACACAAACTGTGCTACAGTGTCCCAATTGACAGATCACGAGGTTCTTGTGTGCTGCAAAACATGACACCACTATCCGCTTCTGATGCACAGTCCGTCCTACCGTATCATGACTGAATTAAGTACGTCACTCGTATGCAGGCAGAGGAATTCAGTCATTACGGTCATCGTGAATTTGAACGACCGACTAAATCTCCTAATTAACCATCGTGGACATGTTTTACTGATCCATGTATTCATTAAGCAGTTAAATGTTGCCGGATGTATTTTGCCTTTCTAGTAGTTACTAGTTGTCATCTAATCGCAAAAGGCTGTGCTGGCCACTTGCCAGTATAATAGTTACCCACCGGTGCAGTTGTTTAACCTCCGTATGGTTGTGGTGTTTATAACATTTGGACCGAACTGCTTCCTCACAATCTGTTGCAGAACTAATGACAGTTCGACCAACCATCGCCTGGTGATGCAAAACTTTTTGGCCTCAC